GGATGGAGGGTGGCTGTTTGGATTGCAGGGGTGGGTGGTGGGTGGCTGGATGGAGGGGGGTGGTTTCGATGGTGGGGGTGGAGGGGAGCAGATAGGGGGAGGGGGGGCTGGGGGGGGTGTGGGATCGAGGGGGGCAGGGGGGAGGGGATGGTGGGTTTGGATGGAGGGGAGCAGGTGGGGGCTGGCTGGGGAGCTGTGGCTGGGGGGAGGGGGTGGTCGAACCCCCTTGGGCAGTGGTCCCGATGCCCGCAGAGGCTAAACCTGGAACTAGGCGTTGCGGGGGGCTCCCGTGTGTGTCCCCCCCACCCCTGGGTGATTCTGCCATGTCTCTGCTCTGGTTTCTCCCGCTAATCCTGCTGCTGCAGGGGGCTGTTTGCCGGGAGCTGCCGTGCAGCCTGGATTTGCGTATCTAGGGCAGCGCTGCCTGTCGTGCTGCAGTGACGCTTTTGGGTCGCCAACACAGACATGATCCAAATGATGCACAGCCTGGCTTGGCTTCCCTCTGTCAGAGAAAGGGGAGCCCCTCCCTGCCCTATAGGGAGGTCTGGGCCCCAGGGGGAATGGTCTTGGGCCATGCCCTCCCAGCCCCTGCTGCAGCCTCAGTTTCCCCAGCAGGGGATGGGGCTGAGAGGCCGAGAACGCTGAGATCTGCAGCGCTGTGAGGCTTCTGGGGCTGGGGGCTGTTACTAGAGTGTCTGCTGCCCCTCTCCTCACCACAGCACCTTTCCTCTCTCTTCTCCAAGGCTCCCTGGGACCCGCCGGTCAAGGCTGCTGGGGTTAAAGCTCAGGGCTGGACAATGAACCCGTCCAAACATGACTGGTCAATTGACCAGTCCAGTATTGGTCAAATAATGTGGAAAATGGTGAACTATGGAAAAGCTCTAAGAACAGAGCAGTGACAAAGGGTTTCTGGTCTCCACTGGCTCAGCCTTCGGGCTTGTCTGCATGTGAAATGCTCCAGCCGCACAGCCGAGACGCTGCAGCGCAGACGCTACCTCCACCGAGGGGAGGGGTCTCCCATGGCGCAGGGAATCCACCGCCCCGGGAGGCCATAGCTAGGTCGACGGAGGAATTCTCCCAGCGACCTGGCGCTGTCTGCACCGGGGTTAGGTCACTTAACCACGCTGCTCAGGGGTGTGGGGTTTTCACACCCGGCGCCACGGGGCTGGGTCGATGGAATTTTCTGGTGTAGAGCAACCCCAAGATACTTTCGCCTTCAGCAAAACCCAAGTTACTTAACTGAGTTATTTTAACTCAGAAAAACACGAAACGCAAGGAACTGAAGATCTAAAGCCAGAACTGATCCTTGGTGGCCCTGCGTTGCCTTTCTGCGCTAGCTGCGCTTAGCCTTGAAATGTGAATGTGTCAATAGCCAATGTCACTCCCGACTGAACTGTTACAAAAGAAAAATGAATTAACCAGAAACAAACCAAACACATGACGACTATCAAAGCCAAATCGTCGTGCACGTGTGCTAGGCAAGCAGCTGCCGGGCAGGTCTTCGCACTGCTCAATGGCTGTGCAAAGTGGGCAGTTCTCCCTTTGTGCTGGGGAGCAGGGTTAATGACTGGGACTCCCTGCTGTATGCTTGGCCAGTCACTGTAAGCTGTCAGTCTGCGGGGCAGGCGTGGGCGTAGTTTGAGTTCTCTATTGGGGGGGGGGCACGTCGGGGGCGAGTTCCACGCCTGTCCGAGGCTTGCAGTTTGGGGGGGGCAATCCCCCCAACTACGCCCATGGGGGCGGGGACCTTATCTTTTAACTTGCTTTGCAAAGCCCCCTGGGGGGAGGGCCTGATCCACAGACAAAAATGAACATTCCCGCAGGCAGTGTTTTTCCAGGAAGGCCCAGGCAATGCACTGCTCAGCTCGCAGTGCGTGGGCTCCCCCTTGTCCCAACAGGCGGCGGGAGCCGGGAGCCGGCTGAGTGCTCAGGACGCTGAAGTGGGCTAGCTAGGGAGGCACTGGGATGCAAGCCGAGAGGAAGGGCATTGCAGCAGCAGGGCATTCTTACTGGAGTACTTTATGATACTTGACCGTGGTGATAACAGGCGGTCAGTTGACGTTACTTGACTGGTCAGGGGACTGACTCGCCAAGCCAATTACAGCTGGTCGCGCTGGACTGTCCCTGCTGCTTTCTGGGGGGCGACCCTAGGGCTGGAGGTCAGAGCACCTGCCCCAGTAACGCTTGGTGCCTTGCAGGTTTGGCGAGGCTGTCAATGGGAACCTGGTGGTTGGCACCCTCGCCTGGCCATCTCCATGGGTGATTGTTATCGGATCCTTCTTCTCCACGTGTGGGGCAGGTCTGCAGAGCCTCACAGGAGCCCCCCCGCCTCCTCCAGGCCATCTCCCGGGACGGGATCGTCCCCTTCCTGAGGGTAAGTGACCTGCTGCCCTGCGGCTAACGCCGGCTCTGTCCCACTCCCTAAGGAGCCCGGGATAGGGGCTGGCACATGCCCTCCTTGCCTGGGGCTGACCTGCTGCAGGCTGCCAGCAGTGACCACCTCCACTGCCATGCCCATCGCCAGAGGGCATCCTGCCCTGTCGCCAGGTCTCTCCCCATGGCCCTTTGTCCTCTGAGCAGAGGCTCCCTCTGCCTGGATGGAGACGGGGTGTCGGATGCCCAGGATCGGTGCTACGCCCCCAGCCGTGGAACAGTCTCTAGGACAGACCCCGTCAGTGCCAGGCCCCCCAGCCCCCAGGGTCTCCCTCTTCCTGCCCCGGGCAGGCCATGCAGCCTCCCCACCTCCTTAGACAGGACCTCCAGGCTCCTGCCCTCCTGCCCGGCGCCGTGAGCTCCGCTCAGCCAGTCCCACTGAGCCAGCCCCTGGCACAGCCTCGTGCGCCCTGCCGGGGTGACTGCACCTCGCCCCGCCTTTCAGTGACACTCGCACGGCGCTGGCACAACAGGCGGGTTTGTTGTCCCCTGGACACGGCACAGGGAGGCCGTAGGGTGGCCCAGAGAGAAGGAGGCTGAAGCACAGACTGTTCTGGTGAGCCCCAAGCCCAGGCACGCTGCAGAGACCTCCGTGCTCAGACTCTGGGTCTCTGTCGGAGCTGCTGGGTCACTTCCCAGGTGAGAGCCCCGACTCCTTCCGGCAGCCGACGCTGAGCCCCTCCTCGCTTCATCCCCGTCCCGTGTTCTCGAGCTGGGGTCTGCCCAGCCTCCCTGCTGAGAGGTGGGGACCCGTCTCCCTCTGGGCCGAGGGCCACTGTGAACTCCCCTCCCCCCGGCCCCGGTGCTGCTGAGAGGTGGGGACCCGTCTCCCTCTGGGCCGAGGGCCCCAGGGGGCCCCG